TGAAGCTTCTATCTACACATTCATGGTGATGGAGCTGTTGTAATCTCCCAGAACTGAACAATATTTAACTACGACCCTATAAGCGTTTGAATCTCACTTTCGGCTACATTGTCTTGCAAAACACTTAAGTTTTCCCCACTTACAAGTAGCCATCCATATCGGCCAAACCTTTTGAAGATACACTACATAACTGAACTGGGACTGCATATCATATATATCAGGTTGAATTCTACCAAAATAACCCCAGGTTGGCTCAACCAGATCCGAAGTGAGGGCAATATGAATCTCCCTGAACAGTAGCGGTCATGGTCATAAGCTATCAAACAAGACGTCCTAAAACTCTCTGTACTAGCTGGCTTGTGTTTGAAACTGACTCTCATATCCCTCCTTTTTCATCACCAAAATTAGTCATACGGGTGTTGCTCTATAGCAAAGGCACTTGTAATCTCGAACTACACAAAGGGTAAAATGACTATACGCTTGTCATCCTTGGTGAAGGAATAAGTTCATGAACCCATCATAATGAGTCATGTGGTCAAACTATCATGGTCTACCCAACAAAAGGTGACAGGCAATTATAGGCACCACATCACATCGCACTTGAACTTGCAGTTTGTTCTTAATCAAAAAATTCATAAGACACCTCATGTCAATGCTAACCCTATTTCTCTTCTTCAATCATAGCAGGGAATACGGCTAGGAATGTCTCTGAGTCTTGAGGCTCTATTTGTCCACCGTTTGTGTAGACTTTAAGTTCTTGCAGCTCCTTCAATCGATGATGAGACTACATATATTTTCATTTACAGTGCAGCGGGCATAATATGTTGTGGCGAAGCCACTACTGATCCCTCAGAGCCCCAATCTATAGGACCCATCGAACCACAAACATCTCGCCATCATTCGATGGACGTTGGAACTCCTCACCTTTTATTCAGCTACCTCTTTGTCGCTAATTTCCTCCATCACGCCTTGCTTGGTGAAGGATACAACTCAAAGATGAAAGAGATGTGTCCAAAATTATGGCATATGAAAAAATTTTTGGTTGGGATTGTGTTATTCTTCTCAGACTTCTTCTCACTCTGGATAGTTTTATCATTCTCCTGGTCAGACTTCTCAACTGCCTTAAGTGTGCTTCTGTTGATGTCTCCAATAGTGGGCGATTGTTTGAATAGCGGTGGGTGTCTACTCTACTTCTGTTGTCTCTCCACCTTCAGTGCTAAGCTTTAAACATCGCTCAAAGACCAATAAGATTGTAGTTAAACCATGTTCTCTCGATAGCGGGTTTCATGCCTCTCAACGATCTAGCTATCATGTGCACTGGCTCCATCAGATCACATTTTAGCTTAAGCTGCATAAACTTCATTGTGTACTGATGTGGCGGATTTTTCTGTATTACTTTTTTAAGTATTTTTCAATATTACAAAATACACACCAGTTATAATAATAAATATACAATGTAAATCGAATAAAAATAACTTTAGTAAAAATAATTTAATCTTTTAAAAATCTTTAAACTGTCAAATCCCCTAATAATAACACAAATATATGTATCGTTCAAGTAATGACTCTAATGGAGTCTTATATATCGATCTCACAGGGAAGTTGGAAATGCTTATTGATAAATTCTTATGATTATAATGTAAATCACAATTTAAACTACAAAATTGAAGTATGAAATTTGAATATAAAGCAATTGAGTGTATTCTAAATAAAATGCAGTTAAAAGAACTAAGTTAATTAAATTAAAAGTTAAAAGAACTAAGTTAATTAAACAAATTGCTAAACTTTCAAAAGTAGACTTACAAAAACTAAACAAAGTTTTTGTGATGAAGAGTTCAACTTTCATAAAGCATCATTCCCCTTTACAATGAGCATATGGATTGTGAAGACATTAATATCATTTAAAAATACATAAAAATTGTTTTGTGCCTAATAAGAGCAATCATAGTCTTTATCATTTTCAAAATGCATAGAGAACATTGACTAATCCAAAGTTTGGTCCCTAATTCCGTGGTTATGCTGGGAGGATATTGGCTGCCACTACAAAGCTCTCACTACTCCCTCACCTGAGGGTTAACAATCTCGCATTAATTTCCAATCAATTGGGCCAAACTTAGGATTTTAATTTGTTACCTTAAAATCTCCAATTTTGCATCCAACAAAGTATATTTTCCTATTTATTTGCACTCAATCTCATGGATGATATTCTCTTCCATGGAATCAAATGTGATTCTCACTATGTTGTAGAAATCATAGCCCTTTCAGAACATATGTTTCTCAACACATTTTAACATTTCAATTGGTCAAATCGAAAAATAAATGAAGATCAGAGTTTGAATCATCACAAATTAGACATTTTAAACCGTATAAAACAAAATCAATTCTTCACAAAATCATATCTCAAAGTAGGGAGAAGGATAAAGAAGACTACTCAGAATTCATGAGAAGGAAACAACAAGAGACAAATTTCATATATAAAAACGAGTTTGCAAAAATAAAGAAATAAAAGACAATTTATCTTAATCATTCCCAAGCAAATCCCTAGAAGTTCTCTTCAAGCAATTTTCCTCTTTACAAGCACTCTTAATTATCTCTTAGAAGAATAATGAAGAAGAAATCTCTCACTTTCCCTCCTTTTACAATCCTTGAAGAAAATCTCCAAGCTTTTGACCTTCTCTCTCTCTCACGCCTCAATTGAACCGTTGAACTCCCCTTCACGCCTCTTCTCGATGCCCTAGACTTCCCTCTCTTTTATTAGAGGTTGTCTCCCTACAAAAAGAATTCAAAATTCTCTCCAAAATTCTATCCAAAAGTAAACCCTTATGAATTTCAAAAGATTTGTCTTTTGATCCAAGAGACATATTCCTTCATAAAAGAAACTTCTAAAGTTTCTAGATGCATTGAATCACTCCATAGAGCATTTAAAACAAGTTGTCCCTTCGAAATTCGCGCAAAATTCATCCTGAACCGCCTTAATTCGTAAAAAGTCATCTCTGGCGCCACAGGCGCTAGTTCTGGCACTTCAGGCGCCAGCTTGCTTAAGACTGTGCTATTCTGAGCTTTGGCGCTTCAAGCGTCAGGCGCTAGAATCACAAAATTCATTGTTTTGGCTCCAAATTTCGTCATTTTTTCTACTTTTGCTCCAAATATCTAAAATTGATATATCTGTAACAAAAACATGAAAATACCCTTTTTTTAGTGTAAAATATCACCAAAAATAAGCATAAAATGTGTACTTAAAACAACACATTATTTTGGTATATCATGTACTCCACTGATATCACTCGTTGTAGCCTTGTAGGCGGTGGAGTCTCTAGAAAAGATTCTGCTGGATGTATGGGGTAGATATTGTCGCTGTAACTACCTCTTTATCTTCTCCCTGGTAGTTTTCTTGCTCTCTCCTTCTCTCTTTCTCTTCCTCTTTAGGTTCTCCCACCACAACAATGCGCCCTTCTTCAGCTTGATAGCAACAAGCTTCACTTTACGATCACCTAGCACATCATTATATTTGAAAACCCTCTTGACGGACTGTAGCCACTCTACGAAATCATCTGGATACAATCTCCCCTCGAAATCCGATATACCACTTTCACTCCTGAGTCTTTGTATCCTCCAAAAGGCACTTAATCGTCAACTTCCTCCAATACTATATCCTAAAGCGTCATGCTATGTGTTCTTCTGCATTGGAATCATCCTTATGGAAGCGATTTAGGAGTTCCTCTCTCACCTTGTCGGATCTTGCTACTACGCTCGACTGTGACCTCTCCTTGGGTCCTTTCCTCAAGATCAGCGAGTCATTGTAGCACTCGGCAAAATTTCCACTACATCTCTTCCATAATAAACTCCTAATCAGTGTCTGAAAATTGCCTCTTTGGTGGCATGATTAGGCTTAGGGCCCAAGGGGTGAAATGAAATGTAGGGGTGATGTAAGGTGAAAAAGAAAATTTAGTGGCCGATTTGAAAAAAATCAATAAAGTGGAAGGGTGATAGGTGGAGATAGGATTGGATATTGGTAGATGCTAGAAGCCTTAAGAAAGGACTAGGATTAAGCTAACTCTAATACCAATTGATACTGAAGTTAATCAAAACAACAATAAGAAAGCAAATTTTATTATTGAAAGCAGATAAGTTGTTACAAATGACACCCTGAAATGGAAATGACAACAGACAGACAATCACAATAAAAGTTGCATCAAATTGGTTGTGGTTCGTGGCTTGGTGGTTCAGAATGGTGACGAATTGACGGTAAGGTGGGAAAGAAGAGTAATTGAGAGGGAACAGTGGGGAATGGCAAATGTTAGCTGTCAAAAATGTATTAAACTCATCCTTAAGCCTCGACGTTCACATCTTATCAAATAAAATTCCCAACAATTTTAACCATAAAACCTTTATAAAGATTACATCCACATCCATATTTTAATTCCTTCATAAAATATAGCAAAGATACTAAAAACTATTACATCTATGTATCATATTATCTTTTAATAACACTAAATGATAACCATTAACAACATGAGAATTAAAATTATATATCTTATACTTAGCTAATATTTGTTCAGCAAATTTTATGGTATCTATCTTCAACAAAATTTAACCAAACAAGCCAAATACTGAATAGGCTAGTCCCCAACCTAATAATAAAATATGCAACATATAGTGACTCGGTTCATATCTTTTATGACATAGTACTAAAAAATTTTATTTCAAATTTGAAAATCTGAGAAAAAAAGAATTCAACTTTTCTAGAATAAAACAAAAGTAACATCTGATCTTTTAATATTATTAAATGATAATTGTTAATATCATACCAACTAAACTTACATATTATATTCAACCGGGTCTTCATTCTACTAATTTTACAATCAATATTTTCTAAATAATTACTAAAGCAACCAAGTATTAAATGGGCTAGTCCTGAACCTGGTAAACAGCTCTGTAACATATAGTGACTCAATTCGTATCATGAAGAACAAAGTAAGAAAGAAAATTCCATTTCAAACCTGGAAATCTAAGAAACTGAGGTTTCATGTTTTCTAGCATAGAACCGAGGTCCTTCCTAAACCCGTGTCCCTGCAGTAAAACTTATAAATCACAATTTGCACAGTGAGAAAAACCTTGAAATATACCATAGAAAATAATAAGCTCTATGATTTGTGAATTAAAATATTTTGTTTTTGTATTTTGGAAAAACAGTGCGCAATATGTATTTTGTAGCTTCAGTAAGTGAAATGATGTAGAAATTACCATTTCAAGTGAGAAGGATAGGAATATACAAAACTTCTGAATAGCTCAAATTTCGAAAGAATTACATGCATAACACTTTATTCTTCAGGTATATACATATCTAACACCTAAACTTTAATTTTTACATATATGTCATCTTACATATAGTAGAATTCAAGTTGGTTGGTTGAAGTGGACGACTGCATCGGGATTATTGTGTGATAGTAAAGTACTGGTTCGATTGAAAGGAAAATTTTATAAGATGGTGGTGAAGCCTACAATGCTCTATGGCGAAGAATGTTGGCCTTTAAAAGAAAAGCATAAAACAAAGTTTAAGTTCTGCTGATGAGAATGCTTAGGCGGACGAGTGGCTTGACATTTAAAGATAAAATGTGAAATGAATATAATCGTGATAGGATTGGTATAGCTCCAGTGGCGGACGAGATTAGAGAGAGTCATCTTAAAAGGTTTGGTCACATCAAACGTCGGTCATCTGATGATCCAGTTAGGAGAGTAGATATTTTAGATTCAACATAGATTAAGAAAGACTGATGTAGACCTAAAAAGTCTTCGGAATATTGTATAAAAAATGATCTTAATCTATCAAAATTAAATGAAAAATATGACACTCAATAAGACGCAGTGGAGAAAAAGAATTCATGTAGCCGACCCCACTTAGAGGGATAAAGGCTTATTGTTGTTGTACCTTCGCATAAAAAGGTGCATTTCGCTTTTTAAAAGTTAAAGTAGTGGTTTTTTTGTTTTGATATAAGAGAATTGAGTGGTATAAATACAAAAAATAAAGATTAGGCGTTGGATGTGTAGATACATAGGAACCGGGTGGTATGTATGTAAATGCCCCATCAAACTTTTCTGAGAAATATGCATAGCTATTTGATGTATGCTATGATACCTTGTAGGTGTCCGCAGGCATTATTGATACTTGATCGAGCCAATATACACCTTCCTTAGTGGTTGTTATTTCGAGCCTTGAATTAGTATTTGTTCCTTTAGATTCCAATAAGAGCTCCACCTTAGTCCAATCTGATGTCTTAGATGCATCAGTTCTACAAAAACATTCCTCCTCTAATTTATCCAAGAAATAAAGGTGGGAATATATAACTTATTCCAGTTTAAATTCAATTTTTTACAATATTAAAACAAAAGAGAAGAGTAAACCTGATGGTATCTCCTGCAAGATAAGTTAATCGGTCTGAGCTTTTCAGTGAAACTAAAATGTTTGCAGTATCTTTTGACTTAACATATATCACCACCTTATACTTTTTTCCATCTTCAATATGCTGGAACACCAAAATAAAAATAAAATAAAAGTTGTTGGATTAATGCACTGCATAACTGCAATAATAAATAGAATAGGATTTATGATACATATCAAATATTAAAATTATCCAAATTAAATTAAGTTAAAAGTCGACAATGGATACATAGGGGTGTAAACAAGTCGAGTCGAGCTAGAGCCACCCTTGGCTTGAGCTTGAGCATGAGTTTCATTAATTAATCGACCTGGAGCTCGATCAGGAGCATAAGTCCAAGAGTTCTAGCCGGCTCACAAACCAACTTGTTTATAATTAAACAAATAATACAATATTATTTTAAACTAGCATTATAATAGAATAACAAATAGGATGAACAATTAGGAGATAACTAATAAAAAATCAATTGATATAAAATATAAAATATCTTTTTTTATTTTTTTAATTAGAATATAGAATCTTAAATTTTAATATATTTTGAGTATATTCTAGATTACTTATTTTTTAAACAAGTCGGCTCACAAGATTACGGACTAGAGCTGTTTTTAGCTCTTCGGGCTCAACTCACGAGCCACTTATCAAGCCAAACCTGCCTGGCACATGAGTCGGCTTGACTTAATAACACCCCTATGGATCTAAACAATAATTAGATATAACATTTAATTTGTATGAAGCATACCATGCCCCAGTAACCAGGATTATACACCCCGACACCGCCCACCGGGCACCTATTAGTTCCCCTATCGTCACAACGTACTTCCATCCTTAGAGCAACTCTATTTCGAATAAAACATGATGATCGGTCCGTCGACAAAAAAATATTTGATTCATCCCCAATAGTAGACCATGGATCAATGTTTGAAGGAGTGTTAGAACCACCAGCTTCAAATCCTGGACTCCAAATAATGTTTAGGTAGATACAAGAAACAAAAAAAGTGAGCTAAAGAAGGGCCACAAAACAGAAAGTAAGCTAAAAAAAAGGAAGATTTACATGAACATCTGTCAATTTCTATATATTTGCAAGTTTAGCGCCTAAACTTCAAGTTTTACATACATACAGTTTACCTATGCATGAAAAGGCGTATTTCACTTTTTATAAGTTAAAATAGTGGTATTTTTTATGTGATATAAAAGATTCGGGTGGTATATAAGTAAAAAAGTAAAGTTTAAGTGTTAGATATGTAAATACATAGGAATTGGGTGATATGTATGTAAATGTCCCCAAAAAAAATAAACTAGAAGCAATCCTACTCCTCGCTCTTAGGAATGAAGTCATTCACTCAACTTACCTCTATTGCTTACAAGCTCTGCCCACAATCCACCAGCTCCAGCATGGTTGATCTCCTGCCCATGATAACTCAAATCGTTAATATAACTTAAATTTAATTCAAATTCAAAATGATCAATCAAGCTTATATTCCGATTTAAACGAGCAATAGTTTGAAACAAATCAAATGCTTATAAAGTCCAAAATAGAATGATAAAAGTACATCCAATATGCAGAGGCTAAATTTGGAGGCATCAGAAGGGGTGAAATGTGAAGAAAATGAAAATGTAAATGTTAATAGAATTGAAGTGAAACAAATTTCCACACACCTACGTTGTTCAGTAGAAGTTGAGTGGAAAAGTAGTTCCATGTTTTGTGTATTTCAAAGAAAAAACTAATTTACACTCTAATGTTACTTCAGTTTTCATGGGATTTAACCAGATAATCACAACTAGAAATAAGCATGTGTACTGCTTCATTTTGTAAAATAAAATTCTTATGAATTACACCTAATAGTGAGGTAATAAAAAAATGAAGAATTACATACATGCCACACAATTCCTAGGCATTTATATATCTAACACCTAAACTATAATATTTACATTAATGCCGCTTTACCTATGCATGACAAGGTATATTTCACTTTTAGAAAGTTAGTCATAGTAATAATTTTTATGTGATATGAAAGATTTGAGTGTTAGAAATGTAAAAAGTTAGAGTTTAGGTGTTAGATATGTAGTCATAAGAATTGAGTGTTATGTATGTAAATGCCCCAAAAAGTATTTCCCTTCCGCTAGATTATTTCAATAAAAACACAACCAGAGGAGCTATCTGGCTAAAGTAGGATTAAACTTAAATACGATATAGTTGTACATCAGAAAAGCATCAGCACTAATCTCGAGTAAGTTGGCCTCTTATCTGTCCCTTAAATCCTAAAACGGACGACCCGCAGAAGAAAGACCAAACGTCATATCACCAAAAGATCAAAGACTTGATTAACCAAGTATATATCCTTTAGGTCAGGACTTGAAGCCGACCGAACGAAGGTCATCTGAGCAAAAGTACAAGATTTATTTAGTCGAGAGAAGGTATTAGCCCAACTCACAGAAGAAATACCAAACGTCACATCACCAAAAGATCAAAAACTTGATTGACCAAGTATATATCCTTTAGGTCAGGACTTGAAGCCAACTGGACGATGGTCATATGAGCCAAAGTACAAGATTTATAAGTCGAGAGAAGGCATTAGCCCAACTCTCGCCCCAGCATCACCACTCGCCTCATAAGAGTTCCCTGGACTCTTCTGGATACCATAGGTTCTCACCATGATACACTACGTGAACACCGCTAAGGGACCTGCCAAGATACGAGCTACTTATCGGATTGCGATGATTCACCCTCTACCCAACAGTCTAGTCTCATCCTAGCGATCTCAGCAAACCGAGCAATAGAGTAGCCGAGCTATAGGCTTACTTATGTAAACATCTAAAATATCCTGTAACACCCCCCTTAAAGTAGGGGTAAGCATATAATTATCTACATTATATCCCCTTCTCCTATAAATAGGGGATCATTTCTACAGTAAAGGGTAATCAAAGAATATAAAAAAAATCCCTCACTCTATTGTTTGTTACTTCAGTCTCTCTCTCTCTCTTTTGGTGCGATTCACGGGACAGATCCGGATTGAACATTAGTAAATCTTGTTCCATATTTATTAAACATCAATAGGATTAAAACATAGAAACTGTTTGGCACACCAACCAGCAAAGCTTGTTAAATAAATCTTCAGCAATTAATAGGATTTAAGATTTGCAGGTGAGGGAAAATTTTTAAGTTTATTGAATCCAGTGAATGGTGGGATTTAGTAAATTTTATATTTAATCACAAATTGCATTGAGACTAGATTTATCAGAACTGGGATTTAACCAAATTTTACTTTATCCAGCCTGAAACAGGATACAAAACAGCCCCTGAATATCATATACAATTTAAACATCCAATATCAAATTCAAATTCCACAAAGGCGATGAAGAATTCATAAAGCAATTCCAACAAAATCAAAGACCGAAATACTAATAAGAACGCCAACTTCACCTCAAAAAAGATTCCAAACAACTTATCGGGCATCTTCCGCGCAGATTTTGGCGAAGCATTGACAGCTAAAGAGGCCGTTTGATTTGCCAGCAACTCTATCGCAGAACATAGACGTGAACAGCACAGTAGAACCATGAAAAGAGGCATAATTCCACAATATCCCCATTCCACTCCCATTTTGCCTTAGCTGCATCCAATGCACACACTCGGAGTGAGAGCTGCAGGAGAAAACAGATACACTCCGCGTGTATCAGCTCATCTGCAAAAGCTCAAATCAATAAGATAAAACCTTTGGGAAGACGACAAGAAATAGGGTTTTCGTGCAGCTTCAGCAACGGGGACAGGGCCGAAAATGCTCGCAGTTGACCTCTTACTTACGTATCGTCGGAGCAGAAAATGTGCGAAAATGTGGCGCGCAAAAAGTCTTCTGGATTATGGCAGTAAAAATAAAATTATTAAAGAAAGGGGCATTTACATAAATACAACCCAATTCTTACATATTTACATACATTGTCAGTCCGCTATTGTAGTCTAGCTATCGACCTTCTAACTTTCGTGAGAAATTTAAGTCAGTAGAGCGACATTGGACTATCGAGTAGATAGTGAATCACAGTAATTTGATAGTACCTCGCTCTTCAACCATGAGAGCCTAAGGGATGACTATAAGATTCTTTGTTGTATTGTTAATTATTGATCCCTGACGAGGAACATTTAGGGCATTCACGGGATGTTTTGTGATATTATAAAACCGCATCTTTTCTCGACTCAGATCTACTGAAATACATTTTTCTTTTATATTGGGTCAACTTTCTTCGCGGTTAGCTTGATTTCATATTTTTGTTGTTTCGATCTAGATGGTTTGTGCTTTGATCGTTTCGTCGCCTATTTTGCTCCTCGTGGCTTAGTCAATTTTGGTTTTGGCTCGAATAGTTATATCCGATCAGATAAACGTGTATCGTGATCATCTATCAGTGAGTTCTCCCCCGTCGTACTCTCCTTCTCTCTACAGTTAGATATCCTCAGAATCAACGCTCACACATCTTCGACGTGCACCTTGGGAAGATGATAGGCATGTAAAAATTCATGTTTAGTTGTTCGATATATATATACCTAGGAAATCAGCGGTATTTATGTAAATCTTCCCAAAAAAAAAATTTGCATTATTACCATATTTATTCTCCTCCATTGCCAATTCCTTTTTTGGTACAAGTTGTGGCGTGTAAGTTAGCATATTTTAATTTTTTGCATTCTAGAAATGTTTGTGGGTAAAGATATTGGTCTTAAATTTATAATATATCATATTTAATTAAATATAAAATAAAAATAATATGGCATGAATGATTGCTTTGTGCGAAAATTTCTTCAAGGAAAGAGTAATATTTTGATTAGCTTTGCTAGTAGCATGTGATGTTTTGCAATGATATTTTTTAGTTTATTTATTTGATTTATTTTATTTTATTTTGGATGAGATAAATTAACATGTCCCAATAAGATATATAATCGAAAGGCAAAATGTTAACTTGCTTGTGACATAATGATTGAAGGTATAGTTCTTGTGTTTCTAAAAGCATGTATATTACTCTTTGAGCTCATCTTTTCTGAAAAAAATAATAATAACAACGGCAATATGGTGGTAGACGGTTGTTAAGATCATTGGATATGGTTGGATTTGCTCTTAGAGATGGTGATATGACACTTAACAAAGTCAATTCGAACTCATATTGATGCTAAAACTCAAAATAAGTTCAACTGCTTGATTGCAGGCTCAAACTTGTGCACCAACTCATGCCAACCTCATACAACCGGCTCAACTGTAAATCTATAGCTCATATCAAAGTCGTTGCAAGAACGCATTGAAGAAGAATGGGAACTTCAAAGATGGAATTGATGGAAGCTCGTTGGTCAAAAGCAACGATAAAATAAGAGAGAAGGTTGTGAGGGAAGCTTATTTTGAATCTTTGATATAACGATGTTACTAACAACACTGTGAGAGATCGATGAAAAAAACAAATTGGATAGCATTGAGACAGGACTAATGGTAGTAGCTTGGTGGTGAAGGCGATGCCATAACGAGTTAGTTAGTACGAAGACGTGCCGATCGTCGAAAGCTAGGAGGATAAAGCTACGACGACAGCTCGTTGTAGAACCTAGCAAAGGGATTTCAATGGGAGCTTGGCATATAGTGTAGCAATAAAAACTTGCTTGAGAACCCAATGATGAGATATGCGGCGAATGATATGACAATGAACTGTAAATAGAACGACGAAACTTAAGTGAGCCCAATTATAAGCCAACAAGCCGAACCAGGTTAAGCTTAAATTTGTGTATAATTTGAGTTGAAATAATAAGTCTAGTCCCTAACTCAATAAGCTCAGCTCATGAGCTTGTTAACGAATTAAGTTCAATTACAATGTTGAGCTAAGGTTTGATACCCAAATTAACCATATGCAATTTACACTAATTGAAAAAAGAAATATCAGGATATAAAATATTTCAATAAATTTAATAAAATATATTTCAGCATTTATTCTATAAAACTATAATTCAATTATTTAGTTGAATTAAAGCTTTATGTTAATTTTAACATTGACTAACTTAAATATTCAAGAAAAATTCCTTATCTATAGCTATTATTATAGATAAAAAGAGAGCTAGTTATATATGTCACAATCATGTATATATTTGGTATGTATTGTTGGCATCGATTTTTGATGCAACGTATGCAAAACATCTTCATCGAGTGACACGACGCTATGATTGAGTTATACATCATCTTAGCCGTATTTCTAGTCTATCATAGTCAAACTAAAATTGCCACTAGTATCCTCCGCGATGATGCTCGTTCCTGTGGCAAGGAGTTTTATTTGGTTGATACTGATATTCTCGTGACATAGACCATTAACGAGGTTGTTCCATGTGTGTTCGTGCCTTAAGTTTAAGGTCCGGACGAACGAATTTCTCGATTGGAATTGTCGTGCTCGGTGAAACGTGTACAATTTACCTTCTCGAGCACTTTTGAGATGCATTTCCACCCCTATCGAGGTCTGAGGGTCATGTGTGCTCATATTCGATCCTCCGGAGGTCCTAAGAGGCTTGAAATCCCTTCAACGGACTTTTCCAGAACCAAAATTTTATGTCGATTGGTGTAACCATGCCTTATTCTGGCATGGTCGTGCCTAACCAATTGGATGACCACACCAATGCTTCCTAGAAGTGCTCTAGGTTCCTCGAGCAGCGTGACCACGCCGGTCAGACAGAGCGTCCGGCGTAATTACGCTGAGCTCGGGTGTAGCCACTCCGAACCCTGATCCACGATTTGAATAATGGCATGACTATGCCTGAGCCCTGTGGGGCCACGCCATCGTAAATTGTTTAGCGAGTTTTGCATTTTGGGCCCTAGTCTCCCACCAATGAGAAGGCCATAGCCAGTAGTCCTCATCCCCTAAACCCTAAAAGGTTATTCACCATAAAATGGCATAAAAGGAATTGGGAAGGTGGCTTAGATCCATTGGGTAAGCCATTTGAGGAGGATTAACCCGGGAAAAGGCTCATTTGCTTGGATCGACAGCCATTGGAGTTGGAGGGGAGGAAATGAGCAAGGGAGCTTGGAAGAAGCTTTTAAGGGACTTTTTTGGAGGATATTTTCATTTTCTTCCCAGAGAAGGCCAGGGAAACCATTTTCCTCGTCTTTTTCTCCATTTCTCTGGCCATCTTCTTTGTCTTCAGCGACATTCCGGCTAACCAATGGGGAACGCTTCTTCACTGTTTTGGGGAAGGTCAACTCCAGCGATTTCCTTATTCTCTCAAGCGAGGAGAGCTTCCTCATCTCTTAGGAGAATGAGGATTATGGAGTTCTCATCATTCCTACTCTCCGGCGAGGAGAGCTTCCTCATCTATTTGGAGGTAAATTTTGAATACTTCATTATTCTCTCTCAGGCGAAGAGTGCTTCCTCCTACGATAAGCAACACTTTGATCATACGTTACGTATGTGAGATTAGGGGTGTCAAACATTAACTTCACACTCCAACATGACTCGATCTTGACTCGAAAATTTCGGGTTAGGGTCGAACCAAATATTTTTCGAGTCAGGTGCATGTTAGAAAATTTATCAATTTTATAATTTCATTTTCTCTAATCAAGGTGAAGAAATTAACATGTTTACTAATAATTACATAGAGAATTATTCTAAATGGGCTATACCTTATATTCTTTTCCCTCAATAGCACTTTGCCAAATAAAATTTATGATGTCTCTTTTTGTTACTTTTTGTATACGTGTGTGAGATGGATCTTCACGCAACACTAAAACATTAAAATGCTACTTTACCATCACTAATTTTTTGGCACTCAAATTGACTAGATTTCCATGTAAAAATGAAAGTTTTAGATGTCCAAATATATGAGTACATAAGAATTCAGTGGCTTATTATTATCTCTCAAGATCTAACTTTTATCTTTTTATGATAACACCCCTCATATTCAAATAATACTTTTCTACAAATCTATTATTGCGTGTAGTTTAATATAAGAAATCACATCAACCAAAGTTGATGCAATTGATTCCTAACCAATTTATATATTTGCCCGCGAAAGTCTTAGAAGTACAACACCGAATCCCCACCAAACCCAACTTACCCATTCTTTTCTGAATTCTTTTAGTTGCTCCAACCATAGCCACTTGGCCACCCCTCTCTCTCTCACTAAAAATTATTGCATAAGGACACCGCATGCATGCGGTGTCTGATCCGAACCGTAGATCACGGTGATCTATGGTCAGGATGTATTTTTGATTATTTAAAAAAAAAAAATTAAGTGAGGCCCACCGAAATACATCCTGATCGTAGATCACTGTGATCTACGGTCAGGATCGAACACCGCATGTTTCTCTGCATGCGGTGTATGCAATAATTTTTCGTCTCTCACTCTCAACGCAGGAAAAATGCATGAAAAGGTGTATTTCTTCATTTAGAAAGTTTAAAATAGTCACATTTTGAATATGATATTATAAATGTAATAAGAAAAAATTAGGTGTTATATATGTAAATACATAGGAATTAGGTATATGTAAATACATAGGAATTAGAATTAGGTGTTATGTATATGCAAATAGCAAAAAAAAAAAAAAGAATAATAATGATCTAGTCTTGTAAATTAAGAATTTTACTTTCTTAAATTATTAAGAACATTTAGATTTTTTTTTCAAGAAAATTATGTTAACTAACGTTGCTATTATCGGGCCTGAAGCCCTACATGCGAAAATTTGAGGATTGTGTTAGGTAGTGGACAACTATTATGAAATTTGTCAAAAAAAAATCATGGTATGAATCATTTAAATCATCATGTAAATGATATGACATTCACTGGAAGCGACGTGTTGTATAACATGGATTAAGTAAAAATTGTGAAAG